TAATGTGAACCCATAGATGCAATTTCAAAACTTGTGGATTCTTATACTTCAACACTTCAAAACTTGAGGTAGAGTTTTTTTTCCAACCAAGGGAGAATGATGAGAGTATAAGAAGCTCAAGGAAGACTAAATTTAAAGAAGCTATGATATTTGGACATTGGCATGATTTTATAGAGAAATTGATAGAAATCTTCTATAATTATGTTTTCTGTATTATTAGAGTCTTATTTTATAATTATATTTTAGCCTTTTAAGATTTAAGCTTAGGAGTATTTTGGTAATTTGATTTATCAAAGAAAAAAAAAAGAAAAAGTATTTTGGTAATTTGCAGAATTTATGAATATGGGTTATGTAAGTCGCCCATGAATTGTCTTATGGGTCGAGTTATTTAATTACTTTTTATTTATGTATCTTATTTGGTCTTAAATTAGTTTTAGAAGTTAAAGATATTTTAATAGTTTCCTTTTTTGGTTATAGTTGGTTTTGGAAGTCTTCTAATTCTATATAAAGTCATGTAATACTTATAGTTCGATAGAGTTGATATTTTAAATAATTTTTAGAGCTTTGAAGCTTCTTTGGGTTTGTGTGATGCAATCATAACCTTAGGTGTGATGCCTAATGAATTCTAGGAGTAATTCCTAGATCTATCTTCTTCTCCTTCTTTCCCTCTTATATTTTCTGCACTTTTTAACAGCCCCAACACTGTCGAAATTTCCATCTTTTCATGCTTAAACTCTTACCCATTTATTAGTCTAAACAAATCCTAATTGTCCCCTGTACTTTTATTGCAATTTCAGAAATAAAATCCAATTAAATCAGCCCCAAAAACCCGCGGTTGTGGCTGTCCCTAATTGTCTTGCCTCAAACAAACAACTTGAAAACCATAAAACCTAACCCCATAATCGAATTAGAAACCCTATCCCCCAAAACAATTTAGAAACTCAAACCCCCCAAATAAATCACAAACTAGAAACCCTAACCCCAAAAATAAAAAATAAAAACTACAAACCTAATACTTGCCAGCGGCAATGTGACTATTGGAGGGGTTGGTGATGATGGTGGTACAATCGAGGTAGAGTTTGGTTATGACAACATTGGAGGGATTGATGTAGGTGTCGATGATTTTTTTTTTTGGGTGAATTTGTTGGTGTTGACGACGCCATTAACGTCGCTAGTTGCAACTGATGTTTGAAAATCAGACATAGTGGAATGATGAAGGGAGACCAAAATGTAATGCTCCGATTTCTAAGGGATCCGAATCTATTAAGAAAATAGTATTTTGAAACAAGGGAAATATATATTTATATGAAAATGATCTTATGAGATAGGATTGTCTTACTAAAATAAGATAAATAAGGAATGAGATTACCAATTGATAAAATCTCCATCAATATATACATAAATCCATCCAATACATGGGTTACAAGTGTCACATGCATCCTATATTCAAGCTCATTACATGACATGAATATTGAGCATGTGGGACATTACATCCAATTACAATATCTAAGTTTTCAGAAGAGCATGCTCTAAGGGATTACATATACCAAATGCCTTGCCCTATTACAAGGAAAGGGTTTCAACCCAATACAAAAAATATAGCCCAAGGCTTTATAAAATAAGCAAAATAGAATGAGCTTCTTTCTCTCACAATCCTTGGGCCATCATCTCAGCGGAGGCACACCGTCAATATCTGAAAATGGTTTTCTGTGACGGGATGAGCACTAGGCCTAGTAAAGATAATGTTAACAAAATAAATGAGCGTTGAGTATGCATTTGTGAAATGTGCTAACAAAAGGGGGGATCTTGGTAATAGTTTCAAACGTAAGGGAGGTCATTGTTATTATTGAAACCTCAAGGGTAGTCCTTGCAATTATGCTAAATCTCAGGTGTGGTTAGTGTAATTTACCATTTTTATAATTATAACAATTAAAAAATCAAATGTAAAAACTAATTAAACTATTTTTGTAATAGTAAAAAAAAAAAAAAAACCTAAGTATTTTCTATATTTTTGATAATTACTAAAATTCACTATGTTTTTAAAGTTCATAAAACAGGTACAATATAATTATTTCGATTACCTTATTTTAAAAAAATAAAATAAAATAACATTTATGCCCCAAAGTAACTCAAAAGTACTCAAAACTTACCCATCCCATACCTGAGGCATACACATGCCGTACTGGTTCTATGATTATGTTGTACTCGAGCCATACGCAAAGTATTTCATGTTCCCGGTACTCGTACCCGTACTCGTACCCGTACTGGATAAGTAACCGGTAAACAGGTACAATATAATTATTTTGATTACCTTATTTTAAAAAAATAAAATAAAATTACATTTATGCCCCAAAGTAACTCAAAAGTACTCAAAACTTACCCATCCCATACCTGAGGCATACACATGCCGTACTGGTTCTATGATTATGTTGTACTCGAGCCATACGCAAAGTATTTCATGTTCCCGGTACTCGTACCCGTACTCGTACCCGTACTGGATAAGTAACCGGTGCTCATACAACAATTTTTTTGGAATACCCATGCTTCTTAGCCTCTAACTTATGATTGAATAAGAGGTGACACATTATTTGCTTTTAGTTTCTTTTTTGTATCTGATGAGAAATATACCAAAGTTTTATGCTTAGGTTGTTCGTTATTTTAATGTACTTCATTTGGTGTTCTTTTGTTGGGAAATAAGACATCTATACCTATCTACTTTGTCCTTTTTTGACGCAAGGCTCAATGACCTGTAGTTTTCCAATCAATCTTACATATGAGATGTACCGTTTTTTTCTAACTATAGTTACTTTGCTTTAACTCTTTGTTTGCCTGCCCACTCTCCCAGTATATAATGGATAGGATGTTCACGATTTTGAGAACTCTATTAGAAAGATGAAATGATTTGGGTAGAATATATGGAACTTTTCGCATTCTTCTTAAACGAAAACAAATCTCTGGTAATTGTTTCTAGAATTTTTTACTTCCAACTTTCTATGGCACTCTTCTTTTTACTGTGCATTTAGGCCATGCACATTTATTTATTTTTTGCGGTGGGGATGGGGCTGGGGGTTTGGGTTGGGCATACGTATTTAGTTTGGTCTTTACTTTGTTAAATTAAAGGGCAAATTACACCAATAGTCTCTATATTTTGCTCATTGTGTCATTTTGGTCCCAACATTTTCAATTGTCTCAATTTTGACCCTTAATTTTAGATTTTGTATGAATTTGATTCAATTGATAACGTCATTAAGATTTTTGACAGAAAATGATCACTGAGTTGGTTGGGGTTACTCACAGAGTTGATCAAATTTATAATTTTGCCTCTAGAAGCACAACACAGGCCACTTGTGCACATTTTTCATAAAAAAATGCTAACAAATATAATCAATTGGATCAAATTGAGATAAAATCATAAATTTAGGGTCAAAATTGAGTCAATTAAAATTACAACGATTAGGAATCAAAATGGCACAAGAATCTAAGTATAAGGACTACTTGTGTGATTTACCCCTAAATTAATTAATTTTTTTTTTTTTTTTTTTTGGGGGGGGGGGTGTTTGGGTTATGTGTATATATAGCTTTTGCTTTATCTTATAGGACTTGAGGCTACAATAAACAACCTTTTAAAGGCACTCTTTATTTTACTATGTACAACGAACCACACGTCGTTTTGATTAGTTACTATTTGCTGATGTAATTTTGTTTTAGGGTTTTACACTTCAACTTTTTCTTAGGAACTAAGAAGCACAAACATTTTCATGGAGGAGGCGTGTCGTGTCAGATACGACACTCTGCGGACACTCCTAAAAGCGTGTCCGATTCTTCTTCAATGTGTCATAATTTCAAATTTTAAATTCATAATATCAGATACTTTACAGACATGTCAACATCACTTATTCAACTCTCTAAACACGACCTATGTGATAAATCTGGTTATAGTAACAATGTTTTGCATTCTTTGCAATGTTAACTTATGCACTCTAGATATGTTTTGCAACATTAATGAATACATCATGTGTATTTCATTGTTCTACAATTGTTTTCATGTCTGACACTCTTTTGCAAAGTATATTAATTTAAAATTCATAATATTAGATACTTTATTGACACTTCAACGTTGCTTATTGAACCCTCCAAACACGACCTATGTGATAAATCTCCTCATAGTAACACTGTTTTACATTCTTTGTAATTCAATTTGCGCTCTCTAAATATGTTTTGAAACATTTTATAAAGTGAATATGTTATGTTTATTTCAATGTTTTACAATTGTTTTGCATTCTTTAGGTTGCAATTGTTACTTGAATGTTATCTTGATGTTTAAGTTCTAGAGTATATAGTTTTTTAATTTTTTAATTGATGTTATGTTTCTTTTTTTATCACTTTTGAATAAACAATTCATTCATTTGACATGATAAATATATAGGAATTTAAAATTGTAACATGTCCTAGGTGTATTGTGTCATGCATTTTTTTTAAAATCATTGTGTCGTGTCGTGTGTCCATGTTTGTGCTACTTACGGAAATGACGCAAAGATCAGTAATTTTTAACAATGCTCTTCCTTTTGCTTTGTATCATGCACCGTATATTGTTTAGAGTTCATAATATGCTAATAGAGTTTCGATCATGGTTTATCTATTCGTCACTTTATTAAAAATTCAGGTTACCATGCATTGTGCACTATGGATTGTTTTGATTCTTTTTATTTGATAATACATTTTCTTACCGAGTTTTATGCATCTCATCTTTTGCTTTAGGTAATGAGGAGGGAATCAATAGTTTGTAACAATGCTCTCCCTTGGCCTTGTATCGTGCACCATATATTATTTAGAATTTTCTATATGCTTGCTTATAGAGTTTCTTTCATGGTTTATGCATTTATCTTTTGATTGAGGCTAAAAGCCACATTAATAACGTTCAATAAAATTTCAGTTTACAATGCATTGTGTAGTATGCATTGTTTTTATTGTTCTTTATTTGCTAATACAATTTCTTTCAGGGTTTACGCATTCAGCTTTTGCATTAGGATATGAGGCAGGGATCAACAAAAGCACAATTGACGGAAATTTAGTTCCACCTGGTGCTCTTGTTACATTTGTGCAAAAAGGAATTCAGTATCTTGAGCTGGAAGCAAACTTGAGCTGCGTAAGTACATTTGTTTCTTGGCTTTGCTCATTTCTTTTTACATTTTGCCTGTTGAGAATTTTCAACTTATAGATGTTTGTTAAGGTTTTGTCAGAGTGATGCAGACATAGATGGTGATTTCTCATTCATCCAACCTTTGGATCTCATAACAAAGGATGTCTATGAACTACAGAAAATCATAAAAGAGAAAAAAGAAAGTCTTCAACAGGATAGACACAGAGAAAAGGAGAAAGATAAGAATGAATTTGATCAGGAACAGGAACGAGAACATGCACGAGAAAGAGAGAAGGAAAAACAACAAAAGGAGAAAGAAAGAGAACGGGATAGAGAGAAGATAGAGAAGGATAAAGAGCGCGAAAAGGATAAAGACGAGGAAAAGCGAACTGAGGATTCTGTTGATATCAAACCAGGTGGAGATAAGGTCAGCACCAAACATGAAGAAAATGGAAATGGTGGAGGTAACCTGCACATCTTGTTTCACTTCCATATGTTGTTGAAGAGAAATAAGGATACAAATTCAATTTAAAATATGTTATTTTGGTCATATAGTATTTTCTTTTTACCAACATCTTAGTTTAACTGTGAGTTACACTTACACAAAATTGGCATTATATTTTGGGTGGCCTTGTAATCTATCCATTGAGATAAGGTTAACACCAGACATGAAGAAAACAGATACTGCAGAGGTAATCTACACCTATCAGTTCACTTCCCATATGTCGTTGAGTACAAACAAGGATACAAAGTTTGATTAAAAAAATGCAACTTTGGATCATATGGTATTTTCTTTTTTAACCACTAAACTTGACCATGAATTGTATGAATTTGGCCTTGTATTCTGGGTGGTAGTTAGGAAGAGTCCTAGATTGATCAGGGTTACTTATTTTGAATGTTAGTTATCCCATGCTTTGAATGTGGATATTTGTTTATTTTGTATGTGATATGCAATATAGGACCAGAACCAATGGACATATGCACAAGCTCAACGTCTTTGCCTTCTGAAATTCCTAGCTGTGATGTGACAGTTCTGGAAGGCCATACCTCTGAGGTTTGGGTGTATCTCTATTATACATTTTTGTTAGATTTAATTGAATATCTTATTGTTTGACTAAACACTTGTTCTTACATTGTTAACAGGTTTTTGCATGTGCATGGAGTCCAGCTGGTTCACTTCTTGCCTCAGGGTGAGTACATTTGTGTCTTAGAAATGACTATTTGACATGGTCAAAAATCCACTCTTTATTCTTTTAAAATTGGTTCATTCAAAAATACGTTTGCTTGGACCATTTTAGGCCCATTTACACACTTGCTCAAATTGTGAATTGAATCGTGAATCGTAAGATTCTAATAAAGACATTACTTGTCAATTGTCAAATAACTATCTATGGCTGAGCATGAGTTGATTTAGTTTTAGTTTACAAATATTCCATTTTAAAGCTCTGTATTTGACTACCTAGAAAACAAATTGAAGGGCCTGTTGAGCATTGTGATATAGTGATCTTTAGATTCCTTTGTAAGGTTTTGGGTTTGCTCACCTTTTTGGGCTTTTGTATGTTTGATGCAGATCTTCACATTTAAACAACTAACGTGACATTTAAAATTATGTCATGTCTTACAGAATGTAGAATGATAGTGACTGTAGCGCATTAAATGCTGGTTGTTAGACTTACATGTTCTGGTTATGTAAAAAATTTGGTGTGGCTGGAATTGAGATATAGCTATTTTATGAAACCATTAAAGTGATGGCAATTTGAAAGATATAATCTTATTCTTTTCCAAAGCCAAACCATCTCTTGCCGTAACACTATTTACAATTCATGAATTTCTAGTTCTGGAGATTCAACCGCAAGAATTTGGACAGTTGGAGATGGACCTTGTAGTTCCAGTATGCCAAATGGGCCTCTAAATGTTGTTGTCTTGAAACATTACAAAGGTAGAATCAATGAGAAAAGCAAGGATGTCACAACGCTTGATTGGAATGTGAGTTTCCTTTATATGATTGTGGTTGACACTTCATATTTCACATACAAGCTAGATGTCATCCTCTACCAAGATATTACCTGATGTTGAGGTTTGATATTGGCATGCATGCTATATTTTGGAACTATGCCATGGTTGAATCATTTTTTCTTTTTGTGAATGTTTGTTCCATTTTGTAGGCAGAGGGGACGCTACTTGCGACAGGTTCTTATGATGGCCAGGCAAGAATATGGAATAGAGATGGTAGGTTGTGTTTCTAAATGGTTTGCATGCTGTGCTTGAAATTAAATATTGGTTATATGGAGAAGATTAGGGAACTATACAGGGCACCTTTATTTGATCTGGACAACACTTTTAAACCAAAGAAATAAGATAGTAAATTAATTGAATAGATGTAGTTACAGCAGCAAAGAACATTAATGCATAATTTCATGGCTCACTTGTACGAAATTCAAATTCCTGGAATACTTGTATTGGTGCTTCACGTTTCAGGTATATGAATATCCACGGTAACGCATCTATGTTATGCATTAAAACCAATACATATGAAGTATATTAGTCAAGTTTTCTTTTGATATCCCCAACTTTTAGTTTATAACTAAGGACTACTGTAGATAATGAACTCACTAAATGTTTTTGTTGTGCTCGGTTAGAGTAATTCAACTCTTACTGAAACAGTACCTTCCAGCTTAAAAATTACAAACTATAAAGGGGAAATTACAAAAAAAAGCCCTCAAGTTTGACCCTTGTAACAAAATAAATCCGAAGTTTTTAATTTTGTCAATTTAAACCCTAAACTTTTGATTTGTTTTCAATCTAAACCATTTGTCTATTTTCATTAAGTAAAATCATGAAAAAATAGATATTTTAGTAATTGAACTCCATGAAAATGATATTTTAGACATTTTATGTATATCTACATTGAGTTTAATAACTAAAATACTCTTTTTCCATTGGTTTTACTTAACAAAAATAGACATATGGTTTAGATTAAAAACAAATCAAACAAAATTGAAAATTCAAGGTTTATTTTGGTGGCAAGGCCTTGGGCCTTGGGGGTGTGCTCCCTCCAAGGTTCAAGAATCAAAACCTCTTAGATGCCAACAATTCCTTGGGGGCATCGGACTGAGGAAAAACTCTTGAATTAACTGTGGTGCACTTGTGGGAAACTCCTTGCCGAGGGCCTGTGCACCCCTGGGCATTGGTTGGGCTTTGATCTCGGTACCCCAATGCCAATCAAAATATATATATGATTGTCTATCAGGATAATTCAATATTTAAAGGAGCCCTACTATACTCTGTCAAGATAGGTTCCATCTTGTTTTAACCACCTTTGGCCATTTGGAAAATGTCAGGATGTGATTGGGGATTGAGTGTGTCTACTACTTATATTCGGTTAACTTACAGATCTTATGTCTGTTAATCCAATTTGAAGTCATGAAATGAGGGTGTCATTCTGCGCTCAAATCAACTCTGCATGTTTATGGTTTATTTATTAGTGGAAATGTCGTACAGGAGAGTTGATGACTACCTTAAATAAACATAAAGGGCCAATATTTTCTTTGAAGTGGAACAAGAAGGGTGACTATATTGTTAGTGGGAGTGTGGATAAAACTGCCATTGTGTGGGACATAAAGACGGGGGAATGGAAACAACAATTTGAATTTCATTCAGGTGACTCCCAGTCCTTTTATTTTCCACTTAAACCTTTTTTTTCTAATCATCCTTTTCTGTATTTGGTAAATTTTACTGTTTGTTATTGGCCAGTGTAAACCTGTTTTTGTTCATATGATCATTCTTGTAGACTTGTAGTGATAACTTGGCTATGTTATTCCTCAGCTCCTACCCTTGATGTTGATTGGCGAAACAATGTTTCATTTGCGACATGCTCCACCGACCACATGATATATGTTTGTAAAGTTGGAGAGAATCGACCAATCAAAACTTTCTCAGGGCATCAGGTTGGTTCTATCAGGTTACTGATCAATCTTTCTTCTCAATGCTTCATCTGCTCATGTTACTACATCAGTTGTTAAAAAGTAGAAACAAATTTTGGTTTTAGTAATTTGTTGTGATTGCTTTGTCAGTTACAGTTATTCTCAAACTAGTCAAGTTGAGGTGGTGAATGCCATGTTATATATTATTCCAACATCTGCGCTTCTACTCTTGGAATTGCCTTCAATGGTAGCAGGATTAGAAATTAAATAGGCAAGCCTGATTTGGTCCTGAGCTGCCTCCTGTTATCAAGACCTATGAATGTTAAGGCTGCTTATGATCTTGGCTTTGTAGAGCATAGTATTATTAATCATTCAAATAGATGCCACAAATTAGTGCAAGTAATGATTTATGAAGAGAGCATCATCTGCATATTAGGAAGAGAAGTCCTCTCCTTGGATGCCTTGGTCAGCATGGATGAGAATTGTGCTATTACTTCTTGCTTGCTCTCTTTACATGTTTTTTTTAGCTGTGTGCGCAATACATGGCATGGTAACTTTTGTTCTATCAGTCTAAGTTTGCTAATCCCTCAGGTATTTTAGTTGTGCATTTGTAATTTGCTAAGAAGCACGGACACAGATATGGATGCAGACATGGGACACGGCGATTTCAAAATAGTGGTGTTTTCATATATTTTTATTTGCTATCTAGATTAATATTACATCTACAAACAATCAATATTAACAAAAACTAACCCCAATTCTATTTTTTTCTTTTAAATTAATACTTACAGTTTATATATATATATATATATATTTATGGATGATCTATTAGGTATTTAAATTTAGGAAAAAAATAATAACATTCAACATTTATCAAAAGCACTAAATAAAATGGGAGAAAAGATAACTTGACATGTCCCTAATGTCCTTGGCGTGTTCTCTGAAAATAAATTAATTAAATAAGGGTGTCCCATACATGTCCCCAAAGTGTCCGTGTGTTCGATACGGATACTTTTGAAGTCTCGGTGCTTCATAGATAATTTGCTTCTTTTTTGGATTTTTAGTCAATATATGTTGAGATTGATTATAATAGTATTGATAGAACTAGAGAATATAGTTTTTATCTTATATTAAGAGAGTTTGAGGTTGAAGTTGCACCGAAGAATATGAAATAAGTTTAAGGCATTAGGACCAGATTGTATTCCTATTGAGGCTTGGAAATGCTTAGGTAATGTCGGTATCTCTTGGTTAAGAAGATTCTAGTGACTCAAAAAATGGTTGGCGAATAGAGAAAACGTATTATAGTACTTATATATTAAAAGAAGGGAAATATTCAAAATTTATAGACATGAGCCATATAGTGCAATTGTGGGAGAGAGTGATTGACCATCACTCGAGGGTAACAGGTTAACAACTATGTCAGAGAATTAGCTTGGATTTACGCCCGGTAGATTAACTATGGAAACAATTTACATATGATTTTTATAGATCACTTGTAAGGGAAAGAAACTAATGACTTCTCAATCACTATAGGGTTCCCAATCATGAATGAATTAAGATATCCCATGGTGTATGTTGTTTGCTGATAATATTATTCTAGTAGATGAAACTAAGGAAAGAATTAATACTAAATTAGAAATCTAGAGAGAAACACTCAAGTCAAAAGGCTTTAAAATTAGTAGAAATAAAACTGAATATGAAATGCAACTTTAGCAGTAGTTGATGTGGAAATAATAGAGAAGTGGAGATTGAAAACCAAGAGACAAGCAATAAACATTTTCATTACTTAGGTTTGATTATTAATAAGGATGGTGAGATTGGAGATGATGTGGCTCATAGATGCAAAGTAGGTTTGCTCAAGTGTAGGAATGTGCCTGGCATTATTATGTGATCAACGAATACCAACAAAAATAAAAGGCAAATTTCATAGAACAACAGTAAGGCCAACTACACTTTATGGGATAGTGTTGGGTAACTAAGACACAATATGTACATAAAATGAGTGTAGCCGAGATGGATGTGTTATATAATCTATAGTCTTCAAATACAAAATGCACATCTGATTATATAGCAATTTTAACCCTAAGACTAAATAGGAAATACAAACAATTCTGAATGCACATAATATTTATACAATCTCTTAGAATATATACCGAATATACACTAATAGTCACACGCCTCCACTTAAACTCAAGGTGCTTTAGTAGAAAACAATGATAGTTTGTCAAGAAGAAGCCGGAACTAAGCAGTAGTAATGTGAGTCTTGGTAAAGAAGTCGGCAAGCTGCAAAACAAAAGTAACAAAAGAAAGCAAAATAGAGCCATACTACAAATGATGACAGACAAAGTGACAATCAATGTCCATGTGCTTTGTCCACTCATGAAAGACATTGTTATGGGCAATCTGAACAGCACTTCAATTGTCACAGTAGAGAGAGGTCAGAGAGAACTAAGGAACTCCCAAATCAGACAAGAGACAACAAAGTCAGACAATCTTAGTAGTTGTATAAGCCATAGTATGGTACTTAGTTTCGGCAGTAGACTGAGCAACAATAGTTTGTTTCTTGCTTTTCTAAGAAATCAAGGAATCGCCAAGAAACATACAAAAATCAGAAGTGGATTTACGATCATTGACATGACCAACCTAATCAGAATCAGCATAGGCTACTATGTCCAAAGAAGTAGAAGATAACAAACAGCCTTGAAAGATAGTATCTCGGAGATAGCAGGTAATCCTTTGGATGATCCCATTTTATATTGAGAACTGGTGGGTTGCTTAGTCTATTCGACTATCACTTGTCCTGATCTTGCCTATGTTAATGTGGTCAGCCAGTTCGTTTCTACTCCTCGTTCCACGCTTTAGGCTACTATGTCCAAAGAAGTAGAAGATAACAAACAGCCTTGAAAGATAGTATCTCGGAGATAGCAGATAATCCGAACCGAAGTAGCCTAAAGCATGGAACGAGGAGTAGAAACGAACTGGCTGACCACATTAACATAGGCAAGATCAGGACAAGTGATAGTCGAATAGACTAAGCAACCCACCAGTTCTCAATATAAAATGGGATCATCCAAAGGGAATAAGCTTTACATTAAGCTCAATCGGTGTCAAAAAGCATTGCATTAGAAAGACCAGCACGGTGAATAACTTCATTTGCATATTTGGCTCGAGATAGAAAATACTCTTTGGGAGAATAGGCTATCTCAATACCAAGAAAATACCGCAAAGGACCCAGATCTTTCATTTTCAATGTGCAAAAGAGATGTTGCTTAATCTCAGAGATAACAGAAGAGTTAAAGCCAATAATGATCATGTCATCCATATAAAACAATAGGGTAACAAAACCAATAGAGATGTGAAGGAGAGATAAAGCAGAATCATAGACACAAAGATGGAATCCAATCTGAGAATAACAACCATCTTAAAGCGATTATACCAAGCATGGGGAGACTGTTTCAAACCATCAAGAGCATGATGAAGACGACGACTCTGTCCAAAGGAATGAGGAAGAATAGGTAAAGGACGCATGTAGACCTTTTCGGTAAGATTGCCATTAAGAAAAAAATTCTTAACATTTATGAAGCACAGACACCTCTTCGGAGGTCGCATGTAGGTGTCCGACACGGACACACGCCGGACACGTGTCAGACACGCTGGGACACTTTGGATATGCTGCGGATACGTTGAGACACGCTGAGGACATGCAAGGGACACGTTGAGGACACGCTGGGTACACTCTAGGGACACGCTGAGCACTAGTTTTTTCAAAACAAAAATTATAATTTTTAATTTTTTTTACTAAAATAGCATACCTAAGGTTGATAAATTTGGTAAAATTAAATATTTGACATAAAATACATATTAAAGATTTAAAAATATACATATAATAAAAATATAAAAATATATGTTTTGAACGCGTCCCCAACATGTGTCTTGCATTTTTTGAAAATTTACATATCCACGTGTTCGTGTCGTGTCCGTGTCGTGTCACATGTTCGTGTCTATGTTTGTGTCTATGTCCGTACTTCTTAGCTTAATATTAATCTAATAGAGAGGCCAATGATGGACAACAACCACATAAATTAAGGTACGAAAAGTAGTCATCCTGACAATAAGGGCAAAACTTTCATAATCAAGACCATACTTCTGAAAGAAACCATTAGCAACTAAGCGAGATTTTTGATGCTCAAAAGAACCATCAGAATGAGTCTTCACTTTGTAGACCCATTTACAATCAACTAGATTCTTGCTAGTAGACAAAGGAACCAACTCCCAAGTAGTAGTTTTCTGCAATGCAGACAACTCATCCTCCATAGCTTGAACCCAATTAGGATCTTGACAGGCCTCTTTGTAAGGCTAGGATTCTAAAAGCAAATGAACAGTAGACAAGAAGGTACAATATATGAAGGAGAAAAACATGTATTAGAAAAACCAAATCTTATCATAGGAGTACGATGGTGAAATGGATACCAACGTTGAATAGGATCAGTGTCATCAGAAACAAGAAGATCAACAGCAAGAAGCAGGAGGCAACTGATGGGGGACGAACCTTGTTACGAGAATAGACTAACAGAGGAGGAGGTGGAGAAGCGAGAATAAATTCATGGGGGACAGAAGAGATGTACTCATTAGAAGGGACTGTTAAGTTACTAATTTTTCGAAAGCCAAAACTGTTAGGAAATGGGCTTAACAATGTATATCAACGTATTTAACACCCTTCCTCACATGCAATCCCCTCATACATGTGGAGAGACAAATAGAAGAAGTAAACAACTAAACAGAGAGGAAGAAACCAAACGGGGACATAATATCACATGCTAATGGAGAGACTTAAACCTAAAACCTCTATCACTTAGTTGCATGAAGCGGGAGTGGGAGCGGGACTGTGGGAATGTGGCCACTTAGAGGAATCATAGTTTGGAAGCGCTTTTATATTATTTTTATTAAATATATTTTTAATTTACCGATATAATTTTTTTTTTTAAATTTCCAATTGACATATATATGTTATAAATGAGTTTTAA